GTGGGCTCAAAAAAGAGCATCTTGACGCCCCAGAGGGGGTCTGGGCGGGAACCGGACAGAGGATCCTGCAGATCCGGCAGCCCCAGGAACCCTTAGAAATCCGCAAGGATTTAAAGGAATCCTCAGGAATCCATTCCCAGAACACAACTCCCAGGCCACATTTTGATTGCCTGGAGCCAACTGTAGGCCACTTTGCGTTCTTCGTCTTCCCAGAACACCGTTCCTGGGCCACGTTTTGAATGCCCAGAGCCAACTGTTGGCCCCTTCGTGTTTTTCGTCTTCCCAGAACACTATTCCCAGGCCACACTTTGAATGCCCGGAGCCAGCTGTAGGCCACTTCGTGTTCTTCGTGTTCCCAGAACACCATTCCCAGGCCACATTTTAAATGCCCGGAGCCAACTGTAGGCCACTTCGTGTTCTTCGTGTTCCCAAGACACCATTCCCAGGCCACATCTTGAATGCCCGGAGCCAACTGTAGGCCACTTCGTGTTCTTCGTTTTCCCAGAACACACTCCCAGGCCACATTTTGACTGCCCGGAGCCAACTATGGGCCACTTCGTGATCTTCGTCTTCCCAGAACACCAGTACTGTGCCATATTTTGAATGCCCGAGCTGAGGCAAGCTGAGGCTCAGGCTGGCTGAGGCCGAGGCAGGCTGAGGCTGAGGCTGAGGCACGCCGAGGCAAGCTGAGGCTGAGGCCGAGGCTGAGGCAGGCTGAGGCTGAGGCAGGCTGAGGCTGAGGCCGAGGCAGGCTGAGGCCGAGGCCGGCTGAAGTTGAGGCTGAGGCAGGCTGAGGCTGAGGCAGGCTGAGACTGAGGCTGCGGCAGGCTGAGGCTGAGGCTGAGGCTGATGGGGGCTGAGGCTGAGAGGCTGACGCTGAGGCTGAGGCAAGCTGAGGCTGAGGCTGAGGCAAGCCGAGGCAGGCTGAGGCTGAGGCTGAAGCTGAGGCAGGCTGAGGCTGAGGCTGAGGCAGTGGCTGAGGCTGAGGCAAGCTGCGGCTTAGGCAGGCTGAGGCTGAGGCTGAGGCTGATGCAGGCTGATGCAGGCTGAGGCTGAGGCAGGCTGAGGCTGAGAGGCTGACGCTGAGGCTGAGGCAGGCTGAGGCTGAGGCTGAGGCCGAGGCAGGCTGAGGCTGAGGTTGAGGCAAGCCGAGGCAGGCTGAGGCTGAGGCTGAAGCTGAGGCAGGCTGAGGCTGAGGCTGAGGAGGCTGAGGCTGAGGCAAGCTGCGGCTGAGGCAGGCTGAGGCTGAGGCTGAGGCAGGCTGAGCTGAGGCAGGCTGAGGCTGAGGCTGAGGCAGGCTGAGGCTGAGGCTGAAGCAGAGGCTGAGGCTTGGCTGAGGCTGAGGCTGAGGCTGAGGCAGGCTGAGGCTGAGGCTGACAGGCTGAGGCTGAGGCTGAGGCAGGCTGAGGCTGAGGCAGGCTGAGGCTGAGGCCGAGGCAGTTCAGGATAGGCTGAGGCAGGCTGAGACTGGAGAGGCAGGCTGAGGCTGAGGCTGAGGCTGATGCAGGCTGATGCTGGAGGCTGGAGGCTGAGGCAGGCTGAGGCTGAGGCTGAGGCCGAGGCAGGCTGAGGCTGAGGCTGAGGCTGAGGCAGGCTGAGGCTGAGGCTGAGGCAGGCTGAGGCTGAGGCTGAGGCAGGCTGAGGCTGAGGCAGCTGAGGCTGAGGCCGAGGCTGAAGGCAGACTGAGGCTGAGGCTGAAGCAGGCTGAGGCTGAGGCTGAGGCTGAGGCAGGCTGAGGCTGAGGCTGAGGCAGGCTGATGCTGAGGCAGGCTGAGGCTGAGGCTGAGGCTGAGGCTGAGGCAGGCTGAGGCTGAGGCAGGCTGAGGCTGAGAGGCTGAGGCTGCGGCCGAGGCAGGCTGAGGCTGAGGCTGAAGCTGAGGCAGGCTGAGGCTGAGGCTGAGGCTGAGGCTAGGCTGAGGCTGAGGCAGCTGCGGCTGAGGCAGGCTGAGGCTGAGGCTGATGCAGGCTGAGGCTGAGGCAGGCTGAGGCTGAGGCCGAGGCAGGCTGAGGCTGAGGCTGCGGCCGAGGCAGGCTGAGGCTGAGGCTGAAGCTGAGGCTGAGGCAGGCTGAGGCTGAGACAGGCTGAGGCTGAGGCTGAGGCAGGCTGACGCTGAGGCCGAGGCAGGCGAATCCTTCGGAACCCTTTAGGATTCCATATGAATCCTTAGGAATCCAAAGGAATCCCTAGGAATCAGGATTCCTAAGGATTCATAAGGTTTCCTAAGGATTCCTATGGACTCCTAAGGATGCCTAAGGATGCCTTAGGAATCCCTAGGAATCCTTAGGATTCGATTGGATTCCATTGGATCCGAAGGCCGTTGCCACTGCGACTTTCATTGCGAACGCGAAGGCGACTGCGAGAACAGCAGAATTCTACAACTGGATTCTCACCTGAATCTTAAGGGGGATGCTTCCAGATGTGCTTATACACATCGCTGTTAGGTTGCTTTGCCGGGATACTTTCTTCTGGTGTGTTTTATAACTTGTGTTGCTATGGTTCTACGATGGGTTGTCGTAGTTATATGTAGGCATGCATATGTGACCTCGAAATGTGCTACATGGAGGCACCCGCAAAGTACCACCTATAGGGTCCAGGCGTTTCCTGGGCGTGGCCCGCCGGGCGTCTGGGCGATTGGGCGCCCATGGGGGCGTCCGTGCGTCAGAGCGCTTCAGGTGCCCGGGCGTCCGGGCGCTTGGGTGTCCGGGCGCCTGGGCGCCCAGGCGTACGCGCCCGGGCGCCCGGGCGTCCGGACGTCTGGGCGCGGGCGCCCATGCATGGGCGCTTCTGGCGCCCGGGCCTGGCTCGCTGGGCGCCCGGGCGTCCGGGCGTGTCCGGGCGTCCGGGCGTTCCGGCGCCTGGGCGCCCAGGCGTCTGGGCGCTTCGGGCGCCCGGGCGCCCGGGCGCCCCTGGCGCCCGGCGTCCGGGCGTCAGGGCGTCCCGGCGCCCAGGCGCCCAGGCGGCGCTCTGGGCGCTTCAGGCGCTGGGGCGTCCGGCGCCCCGGAGCCCGGGCGTCTGGGCGTCTGGGCGTCCAAGCGTCCGGGCGCCTGCCGGTGCTCGCGGGCGGTTCGCGCGCCCGGGCGCCCGGGCGCCCGGGCGTCCGGCGCCCGGGCGCCCGCGGGCGTCTGGGCGTCCGGGCGCGGGCGCCCTGGGCGCTCCCAGCGTCCGGGCGTTTCCCGGGCGCCCGGGCGTCCGGGCGTCCGCGGGCGTGGGCGTTCCCGGCGCTTCTGGCGCCCGGGCGCCCGGGCGCCTGGGCGCCCGGGCGTCCCGGCGTCCGGGCGCGGGGCGCTCCCAGCGTCCGGGCGTTTCCCGGGCGCCCGGGCGTCCGGGCGCCCGGGCGCGGGCGTTCCCGGCGCTTCCCTGAGGTTCCATGGATCTAATGGTTAGATCCGCATCTTACGGATCTATCTGGATAGATACCTCTCAAGTCGTATCTATCCATGCATGTTTCAGGATCTATCCGTGTGCAATCGCCAAACGATGTTAGGAGATTATATACATCCCAGTGTGAATATGTATATCTATATATATGTATATACGAAAAGAATCCTCATCTTCTCCTTCTTCGGCAAAAACTCACTTTCTCTCAACCCCACTTCTCGATTTCTCCTCCTCCCCCCCCCGTCATCCGTGCCTTCAAATGTGGGCGCCCCGCGCGCAATTGCCCATGAAATCCCACCAGCCCTCTGGGCGTGGGTGGTCTAGAACAGATCCTCTTCCACCCCTCTCTCTGCCCCCTTGGGGAGGGGTTTACCCTCCCCCTACCCCCTCCCCTGAACCTGGACGGAGGGTTTCGCGAGCGGTCGGACGGCTCTTTTGGGCCCAAGATGGTTCCAAGAGCGCCTCAGCGAGCCCCAGATAACCTCCAAGATGGCTCAAGATAGCGCCAGATCGCTCGAGATGGCTCCTAAGATGGTTCCAAAAGGCCCAAAGACGGCCCCAAGACGGCTCCAAGTGGCCAAAGAGCTCCCCAAGGAGGCCCCGACGAGGCCCAAAATCGTTCCAAAACCTTAGGAAAATCAATGTTTTGTTTGCTTTCTCCCCGTTTCGCTTCCGATGGCCATCCAAGGTCTCAAGATGACTCCAAGATGGCCCAAGGGGGCCCCGCCAGAGGCCCAAGAGAGCCCCAAGACGGCCCCAAGACCGCCCAAGAGCGCTTCAAGATCGCCTCACGTCAGGCCCAAGAGGCGATTTGTGGAGCTCCTGATGGGGGAGGCTAGTTAGGGAACCCTCCTCGTTGATCGATCTCCTCCAAGATGGCCCCAAGAACGCCCCTACAGCCCCCAAGAGCGCCCCAAGAGCGCCCCAAGAGGCGCCCAGCCGGCCCCAAGAGGCGCCCAAGAGGCCTCCAAGAGGCTTCCAAGAGACCCCCAAGAAGCCTCAAGCGGATCCCCGAAACGCATTTAAGACGCGTCTGACTCTTCAGTTCGCCGTCCTCTTCAATTTCTCATCCCCCTCTTCCTCCTCCTCATCCTTCTCCTCCATCTCCTCCTTCTCCTCCTTCTCCTCCCTCTCCTCCTTCTCGTCCTCCTCGCCCTCTCCCTACACCACATCCTCCTCCTCCTCACTCTCCTCCTCCTCCTCCTCCTCTCCTTCCTCCTCCTCGTCCTCCCCCTCCCCCTCCGACGAGGATTCCGTCTCCATCCTCCCCCTCTTGGGGTACGTGACAGCTTCCCCCGCCCGTTGGTATTCTGCATGCCCCCCGACTTCCCTGATCACCTCAACTCCCCTGGGCGCCGTTTCTGGATGGGCTGGTGGGGATACGCGACGCGTCAACACTTTCCGAGGGCAAGGGAGGAGGATGGGAGGACATGAGGCGGAAAAGAATGGGAGGACAGAGATGGAGAGCGGTGCGGAGGAGGGAGGGGAAGAATGAGACAGGGAGAAGCAGGGAGGCAATAACGATAGAGAGAGGGGGAGAGAGAGAGAGAGAGAGGCCGACACGCCGCTTCGTTGATCCGTTTGAGTTCGGGCCCGAGTTGTTTTTTTTTGTGATTTGGATATGGCTCGGGGCAAGCAGGCCGTGTGCGATGGCGATGGCCTGAAAGATTCCCTGGCTGCCGTGTTCAAGAAACGTTTGAGCTCGCCCACGTGTATTGAATACACGACGGAGCTGGACGACCCCGTGAATGGGGACGCGCTGTTGGAACACAAGCGGTTGATCAACGACATCCGCAAGGTGACCAGCGGGGTTGATGTTGTTGGGGGGGAGACATAAGAAGAGTAATTCAGACGATGAGGAGGAAAAAAACGAGGTGGAGAAGGGAGAGGAGCTTGAATGGGAGACGCAGCATGATGAGACGGGAGAGGAGGGGAGGAGAAAATGGAAGAGGCGGGGTCCGCCGTAGGTGATCAGCCCCCACGACCAGATCACCGTGGCTGGCCTCACCGCGCCGCTCAAGAAGACGGCCAAGGACAAGTCCGACGAATGGGACTTGGGGTCAGAGGTGGACGCGTGGTGCCGCGAGCAGTCGTACATGATTATACTGGCTGTGCCGCCATTCCGCCCCCCATGCACCTTTCGTGGGCTAATGAACGCAGCGGTTTGGTAAGCCACCGCGAGGGGGTGTGGTTCTGGTGGCGGCAGGGACTGCAAGCGGTGAAACTGTCGCCACTATCGCGAGCTGTTGGGGGTCCTTGGGTAAAACTGTCGCCACTGTCGCGAGCTCTTGGGACTTAAGCTAACAGAGACGGTAGCGCGTGCTAAGTACTCTGATATGCTGCACACACGCCCCATGCGGGGCAGCGGATACGTGCGATGCTGCGGCATGTGTCGCAGGGCATATCCAAATGCAGGACACGGGGGACTCAATCGTACAACGGCCCTCCATCAACCTTCATCCTCGATTAGTCGTCTGTTGCTTCATCATTCGTCTTTCCTATCCTCATTATCGTCCTTCTTCGTTCTCCTCCTCCCCCTCCTCCTTCTCCTCCTCGCCCTCTGCCTCCTCCTCCTCCTCCTCCTCCTCCTATTCCCTCTGCCCCCGTCGTCCTCGCTCTCGTCCTTGTCCTCCTCCTGGTCCTCCTCCTCATCCAGCTCCCAGTCATCCCTCGTCGCCCCATTGCTGCTGCCAGCCCCCTGCCAACGCCCCGAGGACAGATGGGCGCCCGTCACCAGCTTGGCTCACGCCGTTCTACGTGCAGCCCACGGACCGAGGGGAGGGGTGGCGACAGCAGCGACGGCGATGTCGACGAAACAGTGAGGAGGAGGAGGAGGAGGAGGAGGAGGAGGAGGAGGACGAAGAGGAGGAGGAGGAGGAGGAGGAAATGACGGAAAAGAGGGCGAGGAGATGAATGAGGAGGAGGATGAGGAGGAGGACGGCGGAGGATGACGAGGAGGAGGAGGAGGAGGAGGAGGCGAACGATGATGACGAGTAGGAGGAGGAACAGGAGGAGGAGGAGGAGGAGGAGGAGGAGGATGAGGAGGCCCCTCTCGCCCCATCTCGCCGCCAGGACGACGAGTGGATCTACGAGTTCGATCGCCTCCAGAAGGCTGGTGTCCTCTCTGAGGGACGAGGGGAGGATGAGGAAGATGAGGAATATGAGCAGGACACATGAGGATCAGTAAGGGAGGATGGGGAGGATGATGAGGATGATGGACGGATGCGGGAGGAATCAGCGGATGTTAAGGCATGTGATGAGGATACGGCGAGCGATGGTTATTGGAGGATGTCTGCAGATCCGCCTGAAAGCCATCTGAACCCCCTGTCTGAAAGTAGTCTGAAAGTAGTCTGAAAGTAGTCTGAAAGTAGTCTGAAACTAGTCTGAAAGTAGTCTGAAAGTAGTCTGAAACTAGTCTGAAATCAGTCTGAAAGTAGTCTGAATGTAGTCTGAAAGTGGTGTGAACATCGTCTGGTGGCCCTGACTCGCCTTGGACATCGTCTCGGGCTCTGGGGTCCGTCGCGTGGTCATCGGCGGTTGGGCGGGATCCGGTGTAGAGTGGGTGGAGTTGTAACACCGCCCTCCGCAGGCGGTCTACCGCAAGAGGGCGGCGGCGGGCAACAAGAAGAAGCCAGTGATCGAGTGGGCCCAGCCGCTGAGGCTACCATGTGGTGACAACGATGGTGCCATGGTGACAGCTGTGTTCGAGAATGGTGACACGTGGGAGGTGCCTGGATTAACATCGCAGTTGTTCAAGGAGATGCAGCAGACTGGTGTTGGTCAGCAGAAGCATACAGTATTGTGGGAGGGATCGTCGGCTTCAGATGCCGACGTCAAAATATGGGCGGTTCCTTACGCTCGGAAGGATACACTGTTCCTTGCGATATGGGAGAAAAAGTATGGATGTGGTCAGAAGATGGTTTGCCAGATGCAGATCAAAGGCCACCACAACATGAACGAAGTGGAGTCGTTATTCAAGCGGATGGCACCGCGATACGCAAGTGGGCAGGCGAACAAGAGCGACTTGGAGCAGATGAAGAGCGCTTGGCTGCGCGAGCACACCCCGCCGACCGAGGGCGATACCGTGCGGAAGAGGCCAGCTGCCGCGACACCGAAGTCAGTTGGTGCAGCTGCAGAGGACACAGCAGCACCAGCACCTGTGGGCAAGAAGCCTGCTGCTCGTACACATGATGATGATGATGATGATGATGCTGGCGGTCTTTCTGGTGACAACAATTCGGACATCCTGTATCATTCTGGCGCCGCTGGTGATACGGGCTCGGAGGCGCAGGTGTCAGACTCCCCAGGCGCGACGGCTTGTGATGAGCAGCCGCAGGAGCCACCATTGAAGAAGCGGCCGAGTGCAATGCAGAAGCGGCCGAGTGCAGTGGTTGAGGACACGTGCGTGAGCTTCGCCAAGCCACCAGCAGTGCAGCCACCAGCAGTGCAGCCATCACCGAACATGGAAGACAGCGCCAGCAGCAGCAGCACGCCAAAGCGGAAGAAACCCACTCCGAAGGCAGCACCGACGCCAGAGCGGAGGATGCCCACTCCGACGGCAGCACCGACGCCAGAGCAGCCGCCAGCACCAGCAGCGCCATCAGCACCAACACCAGCAGCGCCATCAGCACCAGCCACAGACCCAGCCCCACCGCAGCAGGCATCCTCGTCCGACGTGTTCGTCGTCGGCTCTGGCTTCTTCTAGCTGCGCGTCGCGAGGACCTGCGGGGATGCTCGATGTGTAACTCGGGGAGGAAAGGAACGGCGGATGATTTACGAATAGTTGAGGATGAGTGGAGGAGGGATGATGACGATGGACAGGCGAGGGAAGGGTGGAGTGGGCACGGATGGGGAGCGGACGGAGCAGGAGGAGGAGGGAGAGGAGGAGACGAGGAGGAGGAGGAAGGAGGAGGAGGAGGGGGAGGAGGAGGAGGATGAGGAGGAGCAGGAGGAGGATGAGGAGGAGGAGGGACGGCCACGAATGCCCCTCCTCCACGAAGACCCAGCCAGGACATCATCGCGAACAACGGGGTGATCCACCCCGACCAGCTGGGCCCGCGCCCGTGCTCGCTGCCGCGGGCTGGCCAGACATTCGAACATCGCCTCGTGGCTCCGTGCTTGGAAACGTGTTCCCAACCTACTCCATCGTCATAGTCGTCGTCGTTGTCGGATTCGTAAGCTTATATAGTCATCGTCGTCGTCGTCATCGTCATCGTCGTCATCGTGGTCAGCGTCGCCGTCATCATCGTCGCCCTCGCCATCGTCTTCGTCGACGTCGTCGTCATCCTTACCCTCTCTCATCACGTTCCCCTCATCGCTCCCACCTCCACCAAGGACATCCTCAACCTCGTCCTGGTCACTTCACCCGCCCTCCCCTCCGACGTCGGCTGTGCTCCTCGACCTCGGCCCCACCCCCTCTGGGTAGATCCCCACCTCCATCCCGTCCCCCCTCAGCAGGCCCGCCTCCGCCAGGGACACGCAATCTCACCCTCAACCTCGTCCAGGTCACTCAGGGCCCCCCCCCTCCCCTCCGACATCGGCAGTGGTATTCGACCCCGTCCCTACTCCATATGGAGGGTCAACACACGCAGCGTGGGGTCGCAGGGATCAGAATCCGAATGAAAAGCGGGGTCGCGGGGATCCGACTCAGAATGGGGGTAAAACGGAGGTCGAGCGCCATAGCTGTATCGGGTCGAGTCGAATGGTGAAAAGCCCACCTGTCGATAAGACTCGGTTTCACGACATCCGAACGTGGGTGCACTTCGTCCCGTGCGCGTCCGCGCTGATGGCGAGCAGCTGGCAGCGCGACGCAGGGGCAGCAGAGGACACTCTGTATGGGGGCAAGTGTATTGGAGGATGGAGATGTTTGGAGGCATGGAGGAAGAGGCATGTCAGGAAGAGAAAGGGGGAGAAGAGGCGTTGCACGCAGAAGGGTTAGGAGTGGAGGAGGAGGAGGAGGAGGAATGACAGGATAGAGAGGGGATGGTGTGGAGTGGAGGAGGGACAGCAGCGAGGAGGAGGAGTAGGAGGAGGAGGGGGAGGAATGTCAGACAGGAGACGTGGGGGACAAGGAGAAGTGGATGAGGAGGAGGAGGAGGAGGAGGAGGAGGAGGAGGAGGAGGAAGAGGAGGAGGAGGAGGAGGAGGAGGAGGAGGAGTGACAGGGGAAGAAGATGTGGCATTTTCATGAAACAGAATCCCCAGGATCACCCCCTCCAGCCGATCATCGCGGTGGACGCGTCCAGCGACGACGGCGCCCCGCTGGTCCGCCCCGAGAGCCAGGTCGGCGGCGACGAGGCGCCCCTGACCAGCCTGGTGCCCAACGCGCAGCGCCTGGCCAACACGCTCGCCAAGCTGGAGGCCGCCTCGGTGAAGGACGCCGAGTCGCGGCACACGGAGGAGCTCGAGCAGCTGGAGCGCTCCGCGCGTGGCAGCGATGGCGGTGATGACAGTGCTGCGCCCTCCTCGCCAGCAGCCGCAGCACGTCCGCCAGCAGAGCCAGGCACGGACTCCCTGGATCCAGGCGGCGGGTTCGGCCAGTCGGAGCTCGAGGACCACCAGAGGCGCAAGTCGCTGGGGGCGCAGCTCGGCAGCATCCCGCAGGTGCCCGATTCCTCGGACGACGACATCATTCGCGACCTGGAGGAGGAGGCTCGCAAGCTGGAGGAGAATCTGAAGTCGGAGGCCGCCGTTGAGGAAGCCCGCGCTCAGGAGGCTGAGGCAGCTGCACAGCGCATCGAGGACGAGCGCGTGGCGGCAGAGGCAGAGGCGAAGCGCGTGCAGGACGATCACAGTAGTTGGCTGAGGAAGCAGCAAGAGGAGTGGATTCAGGAGCGCGAGGCTCGGCAGCAGGCTGCGAAGGAGCAAGTCGAGGAGAGGATGAAGCAGTCTGTGGATGCCGAGGAGAAGCAGAGGCAAGAAGCACGCGAGATGAAGATCAAGGCGAAGCAGGAGGAGATTGTGAAGCGCTTGGAGGACATGAGACAGAAGCATGACGCTGCTCGGAAGTGCGCCGAGGCAAGGGTGGCCCAGGCAAGTGCGAGGATGTCTTCGGCAGAGGCTGGGAT